ATGGACGTCTAAAGATTATTATGTGTAGTGCCGTAGTAGTAAGCTGTTGGTATTTACTTTATCAGTCGTTTCACAACCGTCACTGTTTACATTCTTCGTCGATATAGTTTTTGAGTTTTTATCGCAATTTCTCTATACGTTGTCAGTTCGGATTACAATTTCGTCTGGTCTTTTTATAAATAATTATGTCGCTATGCGTTTCCCCATTGCATCTATATGTACACAGCAACATTCATATTTATCATGCAAACATTTTTAGACCCTTTGCCTTTAAAAAATGAGATACCTCCGTCCGATGGCTTGCACATACAATGACATATTACAAGTCGCAATTTTTGGCCATTTTTAATGTTTTTTTTCTATTCATTCGTTAACTGTTAGATTATAACTCTTTTTCTTTTCATAGTGATTCCTCAAGTAGTTTGAGTATTAATAAATAACATAATGAAGAAAATTATACTGTTGTGCTATAAAAAATATTTAGCACGAATTAAAAAAATAAAAAGTCCACCTAATTTAATCAAATCCTTACAGATAACTGCTCGATTACTGAATCGACTCCAGAAGTGGTTTCAGAGAACAATAATATGTATATAGTATATAAAATACTAAACAATGAGACGAAACTTAATGGAATGTGGTTTAAACTGGTATGTGACTTAAAAGTAAACAGTTTTCTAATTACGGATAAAGTTACGACAAATAATACAGTCTATGTGGCTCTGAAGACCAATAAATTTTGTCACAGTGAAAAAGTTAAAGTAAGTATCAAAAATTTAAAGTTATTAAATAATGCGAAATGTAGTTTCTGAAATAGAATGTTAAAATTAATAATTAAGCTGTGAGTGGTTGTCTTAACATTTTTGAAATGATTTTCGAAATCACAGTCCGCTTATAGTTAAATATCATACGATTAGTTTATTAATTCTGGCTTGGCATTTTACAGTATGGGACTAGATCTTGAGTTTATAAATTATTCTAATATGAATAGAATACAATGTCTGCGTATCATAATTTTTTGGAATGTATTATATTGTGTGAGATGTTTGCTTTTTCAGTGTTTGATTTACAATGGTTTTGAAGGTAGGTACTAGTACTAGACTAGTAAAAAGTGTTACCTAATTAAAGCTCAAATTCATTATTTAGTTGTGAAAAGGTAAACATTTATTATACTTCATTTACTTTGTCTAGCGGTGTGCCCCTTCCAATGTCTTGGATGCGCGCTGGCAAAATCGTAGGTAGGGAGAAAAAGCACATTATACTCACGACTCTTGTTCATTAAATATACTTTTTCATACAGTACCTGCCAAAAGTTTTGTTCAATCATGAATAATAGTGCGAGTCGAAAAAAAGCGTTAAAGCCTTTAATATGTTTTCAAATATAAATAAACATCCCGTTGATATTTTCAGTAGTAATTGGTACCAATAACAGCACATTTGAGCAATGCAATTGTAGTGGATAAAATGGTCAATTTTTCCGTGCAGTACTGTACGGATTATACGCTCCTCGCCGGGTAAGAGTTTGACCGAGAGTTGTCTCGTTCCTTTTCTGGTCTAGTGCTGTTCTTTTCTACTCTGCGCCGGTCAAACTGAAGGTCACATCGCTACAGAAAGTAAACGAAGTATAGTTTCTCCATTAAGAACGGATTACTCCAATAAAATTAAAAACTCTTGTACAGGGTGGGTAAACAAACTAAAATTAGTTAAGATTTTGCTGCTCAAAATCAAATATTTTATGTACAGGGTGGGCAAATTTCGACGTTTGTATAGGAAAACTCGGTTACTATAAAAGATACCAAAAAATTAATGGCGGCTTTTCGATTTCTTTTTCTGAGATAAATTTATTAGTGTTTTCAAAAATTTTCGTCTCTTGTTTTCGAGTTATAAACAAAAGTTGAAAATTTAATTATTTAATCGATCATCATGAAATTTTGTACACACATTGTTAGCGGTACAGAAAAGAACATAAGTTACCTTTTATTCAGAAAAAATACTGTTCTGAGGGATAGAAAATATTAGTTTTATAACTTATTTCAAACGCTTAGAGATGCGACCTTGAGGAAATCTGCTTGGATAGAATGAATACACATTAGGCGTGAGTAAGACAGAAATAGTTGAATTTTGTTACGCACATCCAGGTAAACGGATGGGGCATATGTCTAACCGTTTGAAAGGAATTGGTAATAATATAAGCTTGCTTATATCATACGTAAATTGTTCGGTGTTAAATTGAAATATGCAGTTCTAATAAGCTAAATAATTATTTTCAATTTTTAAATATATTTATATGAAAATCAAGCTGCCAAAGCTTACATAAAAAATAAATGATCAGAATGGAAGCGAAGAGATCATCATCTGATAACTTATTTGTATGAATGCCAAAATGCTACAGAAAGACTGTTCCGACTTTTTGTACGCCTGCCATATAAACATGCTGATTTGGTTTTATCATTAACGAAAGAAAATGTACATGCTTCTCGCTAAATGCTGTAATCATCTTTCAGACAATAAAAGATTCCTTCGAACCATCAAGAAAGGATACGGATCACCAATCTACAAAATATGCAGCTATGCAAATCAAGGAGAACGACGTGAATTATTCCACGGATTCGAGTTTGTTAAAAAAAGATAATATTAAGAGCATCAGTTCTAATTCAAATTCCGTCTCCAGCAGTACAAATACGTCAAGACTGAACGCTGATCATTCAAGTGCGAAATTATTACAACACGAACTACCTTTAAGAAACTGTTCAATTCGCAGTCCTGATACTCACCAAGTACTTCTACTTACTTCACTCGCACCATGGAATGTGCGTTGGTTATTTAAAGTTTAAAACATGAAGCCATACAATACTTATAAAATTTTAGGTTCTTGGAAAAACTGCCAATTATTATGTGAGCTTGGGTTCATTACTGCCTGCATGTAACGGCTATATATGTAAGAATAAGACGATCATGGCTTTACCTTCAAGCAATTGTCCTGAAGTCACGTTTGGTTCTTCTTCTGTGCGTCTATCCTACACACAATTTAAAAATTGCAATGGTGGTGGGTACATATGATGAATTATTTATATTTGATGTAATTTTTATTAATATTTTTGAACTCGTTGAATTGGAACCTAAATATAACTCAACAATAAGTAAAAGGTGAACAAATTGGGCTGCTTTACCAAGATAACGGAGTAACTATAAGATTAAAAAATTAAACCGCATAACACTATTTTTTTCTGTTTATGAGTTAAGGAAAATTAAACTTTTCTTATTTTTGGAATTTGGTTATACAAACAGAATAAATTAATATTGGATTCATTCGGTTATTACTCCTTGATAATTCATTTTAACGATTATTAAAAACAGAGTAAAAATACAGGATGTTTCTGAAATAAGTAGCACCCTTGCTGGCATAAAATAAGAAAATCAAGTAAATGTTTAGGTATAGGTGTGAAAGCTCACCGTTTTCTAGAAAAACTGAGTTGAAAATACAGGCAAATCTTATTCCGACCCTGGCGTGAATTGCGACAATGCAACGCCGTATTCAATGAGTTGGTAACATCAATGTTCCATTTTTTATTATTATTTATTTATTATTGTTTATCTATGCTTTGAAAAGTACAGAAGGAACGAAATTTGGAAAATACATCTAAACTAAACCTTAACTACAATACCCGTACTTAATACTAAATATATTTGATACTTTACATTCGCCTTTTTTTCATATTGGAATGCATAGGATATGACAGATTAACTTTTTGAAATGTTTCCGCTAGGTCAATGATTAAAGTGGCGGTCGCGTTCCCCAGGAGGTTCTCGAAAATTATTTGTGGGGTTGCCGATAATCAAAACGTATACCTATACACAATATTTTCTTCAAAGATTTCTTACCAAAGATAAGCTATTAAGTTTTATTGGTTGTAAAAGTAAATCTGCTATTGTTACTCGGTTCAGGGTTGAAAATTGGTAGATGAATTTGATTTGAAGCTTGTGCTAATTCAATTTATCAAGTTTTCTGTATTATCTCCAAGTTTAAAAGACGCACCTCAGGAATAGCAAAGAACTCATTAAATTTGTTAGAGTTGTATATGTTAGGCCCGAAGACCGAAAACGTTCAGTGGCAGGAAAAAACTGGCTGCCTTCGAACGCACAGAACGCGTTTTGTCAATTGTTCAACACTCACAACGCGTTCCTAATGTTCGACTTGTTTTTTTTGCCGCTTTCTACCTGCATACAATGAGATTTATATTGTAGCTACTTATAAAACAAATGAATTTCAATACATATTTCAGTTTTTACGAAACAATTCAATTATTGACAACTATAATTAGATATCAAAGGTGGGTTCGGTTTTTCTCGCCAAATCATTTTAACAATATTAAATTTCTTACAATTGTTTTTCAGTTTTAGGAAGAAAGTTACACTGAACACTTATATTGTCGAGCATATGATATATGAATTATTGAATGAAAAAGCGAAAAGTTATTCATTAAACAAATGAATTTCGATTTATTTTCTACACATTTAACTATCAATAATTGGTTTTACTTTCTTTCGCTGATTTATCAGACATTTTAATGAAAGTGTAACTTTTCAAACGACATTAGTAAGTTGTTTTGTTAATGACAGACTGATCTTCTCTCTACACTGACGAGAACCGTACTGATTTTTCATCAAGTCAAGTTAGTTATTATATATTCAAAATCAATACCTCCCCTAGGGATTTTTAGATGTAATTATAATGGAACCTTCTCAAAAAGTTAATTTCTAAACCTCCTTGATCACATAATTCATTGTCATATAGATTCATCGGTACGTGCATTGTTATAAAATCGCCGAAAAGATCATAAAAATTACAAATGATCATAAATGTACTGTACTGGAATGATTATAAAGGAAAGTAGAACATTTTTAGTACCGTCAGTTTATAATAATAGCTAATAACCGTACACCTATTGTTTAGGTAAGTTGACAAAATATTAAAATTACAAANATATATATTTTACAAGGATGGAATAATAAGAAACTGACAAATTTAAATGGGAAACTGTTTTTGAAATTGGAAGACAAAATGAAAAATAGAAGGTATAAAGTTGATTCCTCGACAACAGTGCATTTTCACTGCAGTTATACTGCAAGTAAAAAAGGCGACGTTATATTGAATTATGTAAGTACCTATGTAAAATTACATTGTAAATTAGATTTATAAATAATAATTTGAACTTAGACGTAGATTGGGCCAAGTTCCTGAGTGGATAATCTGTATAAATTGTTTTATTCTATCTTGCTAGTTTGCCTTTTATTATATATTTTAGTTTTCAATTTTATACATAATTATCTATCAATATGAAACACATTTCTTGTGGTAAAGAATAAAATCCAATCAAAACAGTAAAAAATATTGTTAAGGCTAATGAAATGCATTCACCAAAATGATCGATTACATTCGACAAAATTTATTTAGTAGTAGCTTTTAGGACTTTAGTTGAGAGTAGGAATTACATTAATTATACCCAGTAATCACACCTACACCTATATACGTACTTTTATTTTGCAGACAAACGATTTAAAAAATTTTATTTTAAATATCCATACCCCATTGGCATGCATTCCTGATAAGACAGTGAATTGTACTGTCCAGACAGAAAATTTTGCATTTGATTTATCTCCTTTATCATCAAATAGGAGTAATTATGTTGTGAACAGTGGAGATGATGAGTACATCTTAAACGTTTGTCGTTCCGTTATTAACACAGGGGATGATTTGTGCCCAGTATATTCTCCAGTTTGTTTAAAGAAGAAATCTGAACCTAACTTAATCAATAGGTAGGTTAATTACTGTAAAAGTATTGATAAACTCAATTACGTAAATGGTCATTTATTTAGTCTGTATGTAGAATTACTTCAAAAATGGCCTAAAGTTAGTGTTGAGCTCACTTATAATACAGAAAATTCGATATAAGCTGTATACATGTATGTATAAACCAATTTTATTAAGATTAGTCATCATAGGGTCTTGCATCGATCACGTTTATTAGCCCAGCAGTCGGCTTTTATCAGTTGTTTAATCTTTGTAATAATTGTTACATATTTGTTGTGACATTGTGAAGAATGTTCCTTATCTCTTTTTTTTTTATTTTACAGTCCTTAAAATTATATAAATTTTATTAGTACGTGTTGAAGCTTATTGATTCTCTTCTTCCCTACTTCCTCATTTCTAATCTTTTCTACCCACAGTACTTCTTCTAACGCTTCTAACCTTTTCTTTTCCCCTGCGCCTATCGTTCACATTTCACATCAAAATAGAGTAGTTCCTCAAACATACAGTTTTAATAATCATTTTCGAATTTCCAAATTAACCGATCTTGAGCACAAAACTGATTTTCTTTTGTTAAAAGCGACCCGATTCTAGCGCATTTTTCATCCTGAGTTATCTTTATCTGACTCCAAATATTAATAAATAAGCGACCTCTCCTATTTTTTCGTCTTCTGTTTTCATATTAGTTCGAAATTTCGATGCACATCAGCCTGATCAAGAACCGACTGTCATTTAGTACAACACTGATTTTTGTAAAACGGAAATTAAAAGAACAGTGGGGGTGCGTTACACCCCGGTAAGCTATACTAATACATATAAAGGGAGTAAATCTTGTTTGTTTTTTGTATGAGATAATCGTTGGATCTACAAGTCACGTTTCTTTTTTTTTTAATAAAAACAATGATTTTAGCATATTTAAAAGGAAGCATTTTTGTAAAGGTGAGAAACTGTGGAAGATGAACCAGCACACTCTCATGTCCAAATTATGAGCCAAAAGTTGATAGTAGGTAATATGATTCAAATTTTGATTACTATACTTGGTACTTTCAACATTAGGTGAAGGTCTGACGTCACAAGTTCACAATTTTTTCTGTTTTCGATCTTGAAGTTTCTAGGTTTCCTTGAGCAAAGTTCGTTTGCCTGTCGTTCCCACAAAAATGCATTATTATAACAAAAATCGTGTTTGTTATGTACGAGGTGGAACTCAATAATTAACCACTGATGTAATTATAATTATAAGCATTTAATTAGTATAGACAATCGTATACAGAAGTCAGATACAAACGTAATACAGAGAGCGGCCTTTCGTATACATATGCCCTTTCGACGGTCAGCACAGCTCTGCTGTGTTATCACTTGAGACTTATCTTCTTTGTTGACCTTGTAACATACACATACTCAAGTGCCGATACATTACAGTGTTGTTTCGATAATCAATTTTATGTTTGTGTTTGTTTTAAAGTGTAAAAAAATAAGGTAAACCCTATATATATATTTATATATATATCTTTCGTTACCCATAAAAACCAATATAAACGCTAATAAAAATGTTTTAATCAGAACAGTTTGTATGTATTTCGGCTTCGGTCGGCTAGAAACGGAGAAACTGAATAAATCGGCGGATATTAATTTTTCATCATCATCATCATCATCATCAGCATAAGGTTGTCAGTCCTAAGACTGGTTGGACACGTACCTCCATTCTTTCCTATCCTGTGCATTTCTTCGCATTTCCCTAAAACTAGAACAACACACATTTAACTATTTGCGAACAGTAATCCAACCTAGATCTACCTCCACCCCTCCTAACTCCTGTTATTGCCTCTAATATGTCTCTGACTAGACCTTCATGTCTGAGAAGGTGTCCGACCAACCTATCTCGCCTATTTTTTATTGACTTCCATGAGTCCTCTGTTCTCCTACTCTTTCTAATATCTCTTCATATCTAACCTTTTCTACCTTTCCGCCGCGCCCACTGTCCATGTTTCGTACCCGTACAACGCCGCGCTCCAAACATACACCTTTAACAACCTTTTTCGAATTTCTAAATTAACCGTTCTTTTTATACTGCTCTTCCTTCCGTCCTGACTTATATGACTTCCTAGATATCTAAAATCAGCCACTTCTTCTAATTTTTCGTCTCCTATCTTTATATTCGCTCTTTCCCTACTTTTTCCTCCCTTGCATACTAGTATTTTAGTTTTACTTTTATTTATTTTCATACAGTACTGATCTGTCAGTACCGCTTCCATTTTATTTAAAGCTATCTCTAAGTCCTTCTTGCTAGATGCTAATACTGCTATATCATCTGCAAATCTAAGCATACTAATCTTTTGCACTTGCACATCTATCCCTACAGTTGTACTGTCTTTAATGATGTTTATCGCGTCTTCGATATATAGATTGAAATGTAGCGATGACAGTGTGCATCCCTGTCTGACTCCCTTCCTAATATTTACTTATCTACGTTGCATCCCTACCTCTATAACTGCCTGTAGCTCTTTATACAAACTAACTATCAGTCTTCTATCTTTGTAACTCATCCCTACATTTTTGAGTATATTTAACATCTTGTCCCATTTAACATTGTCAAATGCTTTTTTTAAATCTACAAATCCTACGTACGCACTCTTTCCTGTTTCTGTCGTTTTCTCTATTAATTTTTAAATGTGTTAATTATCCTGACTATATCCATTTTATTAACGAGAAACGAAGATATAAAATTGCCTAGAGTTATATAAGTATGAGTGGGTTATGAGTCAAAGGGGTGAGACAACTGCTTCTCTAGATCCTCACCTGTTTAAAATTAAAGAAGCAATGCTTAGCGAAACAATTATATCATGCATGGTAGTTAATATAATTACATGCAATATGACCAAATAAATTCGTTGGTTTTTGATAGCAATAAATTGATAGTTTTCTGGAACTTGAGAATCAATTTGTGAAAGTTTTATATTTGTATTAAATTATAGGTACATACGTTTTGGATCAGTGGCAAGGCCAGAATGGACTAACAATGAATTAATTATTCATTATAAGAATGGTGGATATTGCAGAGATTCAGTTATGTTTGAAACATCATCTACTATTTATTTTAGATGCTCGGCTGTAGAGGTAAATTTATCTTAAACTAAAATTTATATTATGTTTTTATAATTGATTTCAGAAACAACCAGAAATTTTAAGAAAAGACAATTGTTCTGTAGAATTTGTATGGCATACCAAATATGCTTGCCAAGCTCCATGTACAATGTGCCGCTATTACACACCATCGACGGCGTAAGTTACTATCATTTATTGTAAAAATAGTTTTCTTTAGGTGTGGTATACTAGAGGTTGAGGACATTTCTACTATTAGAGATAACATTTAAATTCGACATATAAGACAATATCTAGCATTCTAATTCGTGTTATGCCTAACAGTTAGCAGCACGTTATGCACCTAATTCTACTAATTTTCAAATCTCCGTCATTAATATTAATTAATACAAGGGGCATCTTTCATTAAGACCGCATAAGGACCTCATGGGGGCCACACGTTTCTCACCACTAGTAAATACCTACCAAAATAGTGTTAAGGTATAAGATTTAGGATCACAGTAATATATCCTAATATTTAGATAATTTCCCCATTATGAATTAATATCGATATATGTTTTTATTTATCAATTTATTATAGTATCTAGGTATAAAAGCTCTCTTTTCTGTTTTACTTTTTGGTAGTGCGTTTAAGGCAAATAAATGGCTGGACTTATTCTTTTTTTTTTTTTAATAATCAACCTTTACAATCTAGAAATACTTATTAACATATTAAGTTTGACTTACCAAATAATTTTTTAACTAATTTTTGTTAAGGACTCTTTTATCACTTTTAAGTGACAATATGATAATTTTAAACGTAGTAGAAAGACTATCCGGTTATCATTGTGATTTTTAAATCACTAAAGAATTTTTTTATAACCCAGAAAGTTTATCAAGTAGTACATAGTTTTTGTTGTGTATTTCTTATTTTGCTGTTTGTACTTTTAGAAGTAAAAAAAAAAAATCATTTGGATATTAAATGTGTTCAAAAGAAAATATTTGTAAGCTTTTGTTGAGTGATTTTTAAAGAATCATACATTCTCATCTAAATTCTTAGTTTTTCCTAGAAAATAGTTTATAAAATAAAAATGAAAAATAATGAAAGATATTGTCGTTTTTAAACGTTTAAAATAAATAAAAAAAAACAGGTGCAACACAGTACACGTGACAGAAGTGAAACTCCTTTGGCGACCTCTACACCTTTATAACGAATAAATAATGATTGGTGACAGAGAGAGAGTACCAGAATTTTCAGGATTTATGTTTTCCAACATATTTTATCTTTAGCCCACCTAAGGAGTATTACTTTAATACGTTTTTGTGTAATTTAAAAAAAAAATGCTTAAGAAACCGTAAACTATCAATAACTACAAGGAATTAGAATTAATACATAATACTCACTTTTAAATAAATATTAATTGTTGTTAAATAA